GAAAAAAGGCCAAGTAAGATTTATGTTCCAGCTACAGCAAATATTTTTCCTATGCCCGTTACTGAGTCACTATGCTGTAATTGGGAGCCAAATTACAGACGTAGTCTACCCACTGGGAATGTCATGAAAGTCTATTTAACATATCAAGTGAAGTATGGAGTTTTCAAGTTCAGAATCTTTGCCACAGAAGCAGTAGCAGGCTGTAGAAAACAGCTTACATTGGCCTCACTGACATCCTACTAACTACCGCATGTGGACTGTGCTGTCAGTCAGGGCTTCTGTTGGAGAACGGCTTGCAGAGAGCAAGGCCATAGCTCCCTGCAGGAGCTGGTCGGCCATAGCTCCTTGCAGAAGTTGGTCCCAGCCACCTGAGGTAAACAAAGGAAAGAACCCAGGGTACAGTTATGTAAACAAGGATGAAGACCCAAGGCTCAGTTGTGCTAACGAGGATTGTTGTGAGAACACAGAGATAAGTTGGGGCGCACTATGACCTTGGGGGGTGAAGGGAAGCAGCCCTGGGAGAGAAGCAGGTTTACAGCTAGGAAGATGTTTATGCATACCAGAGATGCCACAAGGGGCTGGTATATTATAATGTGACTTTTTAGATGTACCCAATGGCTGAGATATTATAATGTAGTTTTCTTAAATGTATCCAATAGAGTTGCAAGTAGTGTATTGTAGACTGCTTATATAAGGTGTGATTTCTTTCAATAAAGTTGAAGCTTGCTCTATCATTCACATTGAATCGGCTGCTTGCTTCCTCCGCCCACCGCAGGCTTCTTCATTGTTTTCTCTGCTTTTGTGTTGTGTAATAGCTGTCCTTCTTGGAATGAAATGTTAAATTTATGAGCATGAGCCTTTCAAAATGCTCTCCTCAGTGGTCATGTGCATGCTGCTTTTACGCCCGTGGGACCAGATGCTCCTCTCCCTTCAGGGCCCAGCTAACCACCAGCCTCCAAGGGGTCTGCGCCATGAGGAGGAGGGTACACCCAGCACCCAGGTTGGTACGACACAGGCCACAGCAGCGTGCGGGGCCTGACAGAGGCAATTGCTCCGGCTGAGCTCTGGGATGTAAAGGGCCATGCTTTCTAAATGCATACCCAATAGCTTCTGCTGTTCACAGCCTCCACCACTCCTAGCAGAATGGCTGATAGCAATCATAACAACATGACAAGAAAAGCAAATACAGCACAACTCCCAGAAACTGTTCAATGAACCATCAGTCACAGGCGCCTCCTAAAATGGCCTGTGCCAATAGCACTGAATGCACTGCGCTTGACAGGGACCTGCCGGTCCTCAGGGAACCACCATCACTGTCCCGGATGCTCTGCTCAGTCTGCCCGTCACACCAAGAACCTGTGGACTTCATTCATGTTGCTTTATATGCAAACTTGAGGCCACTCAAACTTTGTCTTACTAAATACTGGAATAAAACTCTTTTTACAAAGTACACTAGTGTGATTTTCTCAGGAATCATGAGTCCGCCCAGCACTACAGACACGACTGCTCCTAGAAGTGGCCCTCACAAAGGAACCATCCTCTGGTCTTCTTAATACACAAAAGAATGCATATGATTATTTTGGCAGTAGTGACAATAATTTCTAACTAAAAAGAATCTCTAGCATCCCAGGGACTTCCGGCACTCTTTGGCGGAGTTGTTTAAACAAGTCCTTAGTTTCCTAGTGCCACAGGAATTCCTGGTGCCCGAGGTGTGGAGCTGATGTGAATCACACCCCATATTCAGCCATTAACTCTTTTTTGAAAGATGGAACCCACAGTGTCTTGTGTGAGCAATTCATACGGCAACATTCGGTCCATGGTACCTCCAGCACCAAACAGAGCCAGGTCCCATACACATTACTAATTGGTCCACTAACCTAATTTTACAGTGTTCAGGTGGATTGTTCAAAACTGTAGATTAGAGTTTGCTTCTATTGTCATTAACATTTTACACTAGTGAGAGAGGTGGTGTATGACAGGTATAGAGAGTGATACTGCCATCTCCTCCTTCAATATTGGTCATAACTACCCAGGATTTAAAGGTATGGCATTTTATTTGTGTGCAACTTACACGATGCAGCTTCTCTGCAGAACTAGAAAAAAGTAAAAACAACAGAGGCTGTGACAGAGTAAGGAATAGGATAAAAGTTGGGTTTCCACTAGGGCTGTTTTGGATAATTTCCTGACTGTTTACACGTAAGTCATACCCCTGCAGTTCTGTCTCTGCTGTATCTGTCCTACACAGGATACAGTTCCCTCTATCCTGCTACATAAAGCTCCCAAGCCTCTGTTAAACAGGCTATTTTATTCCACCTTTTTTTCTGCAGGTCTAGTATCAACAGATGGGCATTTCTCATTCTGCTGCAATCCAAGAAATTTCCCAGATTTTTGGACGTGTATCTTTATCACTCTATAATGTCTCATCTTTTTATTAACTGGTTCACCTACTATTTCAATTACAGAACTATCTCATGATGTGTAAGAAGAATTTGGACTATGAATATGTAATTGTAACAGAATTAACTTATCAAGTAGTTAATAACCAACAAAACCCAACTACACCCAGCTGTCTTTATTCTCTAATACATATGTATCCAACAGAAAGCTGCGTCCTGTGAGACCTTTGTTTCAGGTTCTTATTAAAGGCAGAATGCCAAATTAGAGGTACTGCCACTGAACTGAGCTTAATGGAAAATTATATACACCTGCTAACACCACTGTTAGAAAGTCCATGTGCTGTAGCTGAATGAATGACACAGGCTTGTCACAGGTGTAGCTAAAAATGATAAAATCTTCACCTCTCATTGTTGTACATGATTCATGAAAGGTCTTTCATGCCAAAGTGCAATGTCATTGTACAAACAGCATGCAGCAGGCAGGTCCCAAAACAAGAGGATATGCTGCCTACAAGAGTAAATAAATTCCTACCTATATGGAAGAAAAATTTCCTAAGGGCAGTTTTAGAGAGTTTGATTTGTTTGATTTTTACTTTCCGTTTTTATAAATAGGCCATCTTAACTGTGTAATAGCTGAATAGGACTGAAATATGGATCTGATGTATTCTGATGTGAAGTACATCCCTACGTGAGCCTGATCTATTTCTACTGAATTCAGTGCTGTGGTTCGAGATAAGCTTGGGTGGAAAAGAGAGGGATTTGACCCCATTACTGGGTTTTTTCCCCTGTTTTAAAAGGACAAAGAGCTGATTTCAGCATTATGCAATTCTAGTGATTCTAGGATTTACTGTAGTTCCCAGCTGGTGCTTCACTTGTTTTTACAAATATTGCCCCAACTTCCAGCTTTTTCCATGTCTTGGATTTTTGCTGGCATTTTGTAACTTAAGAATTAAAAATTCCAAACCAGGTAAAAGAGGGGCAACCTCCAAATGCTCACATTTAGTTTAAATATGTCGGGTTTTCCTATTCTGCCCCCCCAGCTTCTGCATCTTCTGAGCAATACTGAGTTTCCTCTCATCATAATGGTTTTCCCAATTATCAGAGAACAGGATCAGCAATAGAACAACCCTCCCAGTTGCACTTCACAACTACAAGAACTGTATATATAATTAAATAAGTTTTCTAGTAATTTCTAGGAAAAAGATACTTGCCTAAAAACATTAGGTCTAGCCCTCTAGCCAGATAAAACTGCTTTACATCCTTCTGTTTCTGCAAAGAAGCCTAATGCTGTCAGGCCCCGGCTCTGGCTCCAAATACATTTCTTCAGCACCGGTGGTGGCTTAGGATGTCCCTGTCCCTGCTCTCCTGGCTTCCCCGTCTCTGCACAGCTGTCGGTGTGGCTTGTGATGAACCAGATCCGGGAATCAGTCTAGATGGACAGCGACCTGGGTTTCTTTCAGCTGTGTCATTCCTATAAGGACGGTGGCTGTGAAAACTAGCTCATTCAGCATTGCCACTTAACCTGAAGCTGTAGCTCTGGACAGTTCAGTATCATTAACTTCACAGATTTTGTGGTTGTACAAGGTAAAATTTTAGATGTTTCTGGGCTGCCTGTCTTTGAAGATTCAGCAGAGATCCATTGTGTGGATCAAAACAAAGTCTCAACACATTTAAAAGAAGGCTTATTTCAAATTTGCATTAAAATTTCCTGAGCTTTACCCTCTGAGCAAAGTGGAAACTGTTGCCCATCTCAAAATACATGGAATTCTGTCCATGTACAGGGACAGCAATGGAATTGAATCTATCACTGCTTTCTAGGAATGAAGATTGGTGTGAAAATCATCCTAACAACTTCTACAGGACAAGATATCAAGTCTAAACATGAAAGAGAAGGTTTCCAGTATCTGTTAAAGAGCTGAAGAGCCTGCTTTAAAATAGGTGGTTGCTTGAATAAAATGTTGCATGCTAAGCCAGTGAGGCTCTGCTTAAGGTCAGTCAGGGGTCTGTTTGCCGCATGCAGCATAATTTTAAGTGGAAATTTTGCCTAAGCACAGATGAAATGCTGGGCTTCAAGGGAACACATTATCCTTAGAGAACACAAAATAACACAGCATAAGGAAAAAGTCCACTGAAACTTTTTTTTCAGAGACACCAGCTGCAAAGCACTGCCTCCAAATAATTATTCGTGACCTATTGCAAATCTACTAGTCATCGGAGTGCTTCAAAACAAGAAATAACTAGCTCAGCTTTTCCAAAGAAAAGAAAATTCACTAGAACTTTTCCAGTTATTACGAACACCAGATGATTCATTGTATGTTTTCATGTCAGTCTTTACAAAGAAGTATTTTGTAGTGTGAAGAAGGACTGTGTGTTGTAAAAACGATGATCCAGAACTAAGAAGGATATCTACCCATGACCTGAGCCCAGATAATGAAGTGTCTCATCCACATTAGTAAAACATTAACAGAGGTTATTGGTTGTCATAGTAAAATCAGAGGCTGCACTGAATGTAATTTCATTTACAGACGTTCAGAAAATTGACATCACGGCTGCAAGAACATATAAATAACCAGAACACTGCGCTCTGATCGACCGCAGCAACATCTCTGAAGGGAACATTGTACAAGCTCGCTCCTCTACAGGCACAGCAGAAACTGGATTTTGTAAAGTATACTAAGAAGCTCCTTTTTATAAAGCAGTTCTGAGAACGCCTGAGAGATTTTTCCTCTGCCTTTAAGTGTGTTTGCCATTTCTTTAAAAAAGCATGTGCACAGGAGGTTGTGCTAAGTGCCTGGGAACCACTCTTATCCCCCTGGCTGTGCTATGTACACTTGCTAACATTTTATTATTTTTCCCTGGAGGAAAAGTGGTTGAAAACAATCTGCATATTACAGACGAGGTTTGGTACTTCGGAGGGATCTTGGGATCTGGTGTACTGGTGAGTACATAAATTTAGACATTGTCACCTTTCCACCCCCAGCATGACTTTTCATTGTTGAATTTCCTCAGTACCTCAAATGCAGGTTCCAACACTGCAAATTCTTTTATAAGCAAAAAAGTTACAAGTCATCCAACTGTTTTGCAATAACTAACTTAATTTAGTGATAAGGAAAAAAAAGACATAGAATGATTATATTTAAAAGCAAATGTAACTTGAATTCATGCCAATTCAAACCATATTTCTGTTATTGTAGATGATCTTTCCTGCCTTGGTATTTTTGGGCCTTAAGAATAATGATTGCTGTGGATGCTGTGGTAATGCGAGCTGTGGAAAGAGGTTTGCGGTAAGTGAGAGGAAACATGGCAAAAAAGTAAAAGCTAAATTGTTACTGATATATGTATCTTCTGTCCAGAGCGCAGGACACAAAATCCTGCTATTTGTCTGAGTGCTGGAAAGCAGAAATAGCAGGCTGTTAAAACTGTGGATGCCTTTGATGTTGTGCCACAGGTATCACAATGGTACTGCCTTGTTGTATTTTGCTATCACAGTTAAAACTAATTTCTGACAGATCTTCACTTCGTGTTGCAGAGCATTACAGTTCCTCTCTTTAGCCATTTTTTGTTGGCAGTTTTAAAAATTATTCTGATGCTTGGGCACTACATTCCCAGTTCACAGTTCACTGGGAATGAGATACACACAATAGGATGTATCTCATTAGGTTCACAGGAAATTTCAGGTTGGAAGAGACCTTGGGAGGTCACCTAATCCAACCTCCTGCTCAAAGCCAGGTAAACCAGGCTCCACTTTCAATGGATAGCTTCCTTTCACAACAGAAGTGAAAATTTTCAAATGGATGCCGCACTAGTAAAAATTTTAAGCATTTTAGTTTAAAAATGAGATTAGAGAAAAAATAAATCTATTTCTACTAGGAAAGTCTGTCCTTTTGAAATAGTTTGGCTCAAGTAGATCATTACACTTTTTATAAAGGAACAGGTTTTCAACTGAAAAAAAAAAAAAGGAAAAAAATAGGAAAAAAAATGATAACTGATGTTAACAAGGAGCCTTCCCCACTCTCTTGATGCAGCCCCAACAAAGCAGGTGGCAGTGCGAGGTGTGGGGATGGAGCCAGGCACATCTCTTCCCCACACTGTACATCCATTTTCTGTTAGTGCTGAACACCTCCTGTTCAGGTTTGAGGCCCACGTGTAAGCAGGCAGCTCCCGACCCACCAGCGCGTCGCTGTCGCCCGCACTCCGCAGTGCTGCTGAGCAGGCCGTGGCCGCAGATGAGTGAGTGCTGGCCACGGGGCGGGTGCGAGCTGAGCCCCATGCGCCCACCAAGCCGGTGGCACCTCGCTGAGACCCACCCGAGGGTGCAGCTGACAGAGACCCGTCACAAGCACCGAGTACACCCTGACGAGACGGTCCTGGTGCCCTTCTGCAGCATGGCTGGGAGCTGAATTTGCTCTTGTATGTACAGAAACACCACTGCTGTGATGTCTGCTACATAAATAGGATGGTTAAATCAGACCCACCAGATATGTCAACATACAAATGCATGTCAACGCTCAATCAAGAGCCTTGTGATGTCTGAGTAAAAGCTCACAGACCTGAAAGTATGTCTTTTTTTCCTCCACCTTTTCCTCCACTTTGACCCAACGAAAGACACTACCTCTGCCTACAAACTATTATGGCTACAAGTGCTTCAGAATTCAAGCAAGGCATTAGCTTTTGCATGACTTACATATTAGTATATATGAAAATGCTGCAACTGAAAGCCAGAAAAATAAAGACATCCTGTCCAATGCACTCCAATTGTGCTATTAGAGCGAATGAGGCCAAGTACCTGCGAGGAGATAAAGTCTAACAATATGAAACCTGAAGGGGAGACTCAGGAGGGAAAACCAGAAATACCTGGTGCAAATATGACCAAGATACTACAGCTAACTTGTAAAGAGTACTGTAGTTGGTTTTTTAATGCCTTGAGTGATCCAAGACTTCAGTCTTGCTTATAATATCTCGAGAAAGACATTCACTTCGGTGAGACACAGGACCCTGAACAGCAGTGAGGTCTGCTGGATAAATCCTGTCTGAAGGGGAGGAGTGCCACCTTCTGCAGCAGTATCCACCCCTTCCGTCTGCAGCAGACGGGGCTAATGCATTTAAAGCTTCTAAATACCAGTGCAGGTATGTGCTACACATTTATTAGGTAATGGTAATTGCAAACTAATATATTTTAGCTGTTCAGGAGCCAACTATTGTAAAAGCTTAATTTAGGGAATGTACATTCACATTAACAGGGTACATTTCATTGTTTGAATGAGAACAAAAATAACATTATTTTTCTCTCATCAGATGTTTTCTTCTATAATATTTGCTGCAATTGGAGTCCTGGGAGCTGGATACTGCTTTGTTTTGTCAGCAGTAGCCCTCAACAGAGGCCCTAAATGCTATACTGGAACACAGTGGACCTATCCTTTCCAGGATGGGTAAGACAAGAGAATCACAAAAATAATTTCTACACATTTTAAGTCTGTGATATGATTTAGCTTCCAAATCTGTTGTATAAAAATGGGACTTACCCTATTTGTCTAAAACACAGAAGGTCTTAGAAGAGCCAGCAATGCACGGCAATACTAAATAATGTTCAAGAGCATGGATGTAAAGAATAGCAAGTACAATCAAAACTACTGAGTTTCAAAGGAGCCAGTAAAGAGAAATGCACAGCCTTCTAGGTTATTCTTGGGATGATAAGCAGTACACGAGGAAAATTTCACCTAGGTAAATAACAGTGACATATTGAAATGGTATTCAAATGATTAATGTGCCATTTTTATATTGCTTATGGAATTTGGAAGTTGTCTGTTCCTCACACTCTGCAACTCGTGTGTTTGTTGTCATCTAGACTTACCATGTTCAGCAGGGTGGTGTGGAGAACACAAAACCCAGCAATCCAACTGCTCGGGGCTGAAGCCAGCAGAGGTTCCACAGAAAACAGGGCACAGTGTGTTACCGAGGAGAGTAGGTGTGATCAGAAGAGACTGACCCCTCACCACCTGAGCATCTTTATGCAGTCCTCCTCAGTCAAGAGTGACCTTGCAGCATTTCTTGCACAATACACCACAAAACTATAGTTTAGGTTGAAAAGAAAAAAAAAGGAAAAAAGAAGTATAATGTTGTATGTTACACATTATTTGTTCATGGGACAGTGAGGGCTGACTTAAGGCTTTGGTCTAATTCTGGCAGTCTTTGGAAAAATATGCTCTGTTTCAAACATAATTTTGGTTGCAGACAAGGAATCACTTGACAAGAACACAGGAAACAAAACAGCATAAAGAATGTGCAGAGGAAACAGAGTAAGTGGTTAAGCAGTTAACAAATCGAAATGTGAAGGGAAAAATTATGGAAAACATTTTACCTAATACTGCCATTCTTCAGATGAGGCATCTAGAACAGCAAAGGTTGTTCTTTTCTGCTCAATGGGGAGAACACACATGTGCACACACACACAAAAATCTAATACTGTAATTAAGTGAAATCCCAGTGTTTCTGCCAAGGAGGAGTTCTGGGAGACCCCATGGGCCCCATATCTGCGGGTGCTGAGAGCCAGCAGGTGTCAGCAGGGCTAATGTCATCTTTGTAACTGTTTTGTTCCCCCCCCCAGGAATTACCTCGCTAACCACACATTGTGGAGCACGTGTCAATCACCTGAAAACATCATCCCGTGGAACTTGACCCTCTTCTCCTTATTGCTGGTCATGAGTGGGATCCAGGTAGTGCTCTGTGGCATTCAGGTGGTGAACGGCCTGTTTGGAACAATCTGTGGGGACTGCAAATGTTGCGGATGTTGTGGGGTGAGCAACTGATGGTTTTCTTTCACTATTTTGTGTACTGGTAATAGTTATCTATACACCTGACCAGCTGACAGTCCAAAAAACTACACTAGCTTTCGTTCAGCACCACGATTGTGTTTTCTAAAGTACAGATGAAACCTGACAAGAGTTGCCAGGTGCTGAAAATATAATCTCAGTCCGTATTTATGGGGCTTATGTGAGAGCTTCCCATAGCCACTGGGAAATAAAAACCTTTGAAAGTCACCGGAATAGTAGCCACTAAATTACCTCCATGTTTTCATTCTTCTAGGGAGATGGAACTGTCTAAAGAATATGAATATTGCAGACAACCCTCCTTATCCTGGGAGGCTCCCTTCTGCAGCTGCTCCGTAACACAGCCCTCGGATGAATCGCCTCTGGCTAAGAAGATGAGAATGATGGGCACTTCCCCCACTAACATTATGAAGCCCTGACTCCCTTTCCAGCCTTCCTGAAACCCCTCATCATGGAATAAAATAAGTGAAATTCAACTCTGGCCTCAGTGATACATTGTGCAAGATGATAAAAGAAATTATTTTAAAAACTCTTTAGAAACAGCTGTCTCTCCCACCTGTTCTGGTGGATTCCTAGGGAATTTGAGAGTATCCTTTATATCACCACCCACTGATGCAACCATCTTACATCTACTCTTTCATCTGTGGTTAGCAGCTGTCCTGCACCTCATCTCGCATTTGTCTTGTTTTATTTATACGAATCCTTTGGGAACATGGAATGTTTCTCATCAGCATTCAACAAAGGGATGGGTAGCTGCATAGTGTACAATTTTTGTATATTAATAAACAGAACACATAAATCTTTGTGGGAGACTTGGGATAATAAATAACAAACAGGAAGCTATGATACCTAAAACCAAACCCAATGGGTGTCTCATGAGTCAAAGCCCAATTACACAGTGGTTTTCGACCGTGAGCTGGTACACAGCAGATAGCGAGACAAGGCCCGCAGGTTCCACCCTGTGATCCGGGCTGCACTCACACCTTGCCCTTGGGCTGCACTGAGCAAGTGTGCACCAACCACAACCAACAGCTCTGTGGATCCAGCACTTTAAAGTGCCAGCAACAGTGTTCCTAAATCCATTAGTTAGGGCTAACACCTGAGGCTCTCCCCTAGCATTTAATTTCAAGGGAGTCACACTGAACTCCAGTGTCAGTGCTGCCGTAGCTGGAGATCACACTCTGTGGTTTTACTGAGCGAAGCATCCAGTGAAACCAGGGAGAAGGACTGATCATAGATTGCTGTAAAGAAAAAGATACAGTGGGCCCGCGGTACTGGAAGAGAAGTCACAGGTAAAGAGAGTACCATGGTAGAGAGGAACAGAACAATGGCAGCAAGAGAGAAAACACGAATGGGGAGAACTGAAAGTGTTCAAATAGACCAACCTGAACACCACACTCTGTTTTAGAGTGTACAAGTGTCAACATATATATATACACACATATACCGATATAGAAACCCTAGTAGCCTAAAGAAAAGATATTAGTATCATTTGTAAAATCATAGAGATGCACATGTCATCTGAAGCTTCATTATTCACCCATAAAAACTGGCTGCTCAGTGGCTGGTCAGTCAGGGTGCTGAGAGCATGGCAATTTTGACATTGCGTGGCATTGCTTCAGCTGAGAGTTTACATAAAAACCCCCACATAGGTTATTTAACAACCCAGATTACAACATGTGGAGCATGTGCATGTAGTTTTGAGCCCACACATTTCAACCTCAGCCTGACAAAACTGGTACCCCTGCACGGCTAAACTATACAGAATTGGAGCTCTCGTTACTCATTGTCTCCAATAGACTGCAACAAGATGGCACATTAACCATGGCACAGCATCACCCATCAGGGAATGCTGCATTATTTAACCAGCAACTCTTCACAAAAGGTTCGTTTCTAAAATTAGGAAGTAACATACACAAAATTAAAAGACATCTGCTCGGCCAAGAACAAAGGATGTTTTCTAACATTCTAGTCTTCAATGTTCATCAACCCCGGTTCAAAACTCTGGCTTCCCCTTCGCGGCTTCTGCGTTACTGATGGTGTAACCAGAAACAAGGCAAACAACGGCAAACCTGGAGCAACCTCCTGCCTGCAGAGGGGAGACTTTACCCCTGAGGGCAGACACTGGCCTCACAGTGATGCACATGAATAAAACCCCTCATAAAACGCCTCTGAAGCTTTTTCTTGCCGAATTACTTTTTCACTGGGACAGGACACCCTTTATCTGAAAACACAAAAGCGCTGCCCACACCACGGGCCTTCTGACAGACTCCTTCACCCGGGAAGCAGCACCATCGCCCACCTGCCGCTGCGGGACCCTCTGCTGAAGCACAGATTGCTCCGCCGGGGGACCCGGACAGTCCAAACCCAAACAAATCGTTAGCAGGCGCTGAAAAACGCACCATTAACCTCCTTATTAACTGTGCCAGCTGGTCAATGCCATCACCTGGAGACTGCCGGCAAAGGCCTCACCATGCCCGTGCCGGTGGGCCCGGCCCGCAGCGCGCCCTCCCGGGGCAGCCCCCACCGCTGGAGGCTGCAGTCCCAATTATGTGAGGGAATGATTCAAGGAAGAGTATTAAAATTAATAGTAGCAGTTGGATTGGGTCCTGCATCACCCATGTCATGTTCCATGGCAGTGAAGACCAGACCCCCAAACACAAGCCCATGTTTCGGTTTCATGTCTTGTTCCAAGGGAAGACAACAGGTCATTTCTTAATGCAGAGTTTAAGAAACTTCTTGTGTAAGGGATCAGACTGAAAACAAGGCACTATTCAAGTCCCCAAAACTGAACTTAAGAGCAAATGGACTTGGTGCTAACCCTTCCGCTTAGAGATAATGGCATTACACATACTGTGCAAAACATCTGCATTTGTTAGTGAATTATGCATCACAAGGTGCCACTAAAAGAAACAAGTAATGGTGGCACTGGTGAGCACATTGCAAGTATTACGAGTAAAACTAACCACCACTAACAGCCATAACAACTACTAATAAACTGATACATAACGGTAAAATAACCCATCGCATTTGCTAAGTGCTAAACATTTAATGGAAAATGTATGTCTTTTGCACACAATAGTATGTTTGTACCTTTACTCCAAGCAGCGTTACACAGCTCCCTGGCACACGCATACTAAAATCCTCCAAAGAAAAAGAAGAAAAAATTTAATAAACCAATATGCATCCAAAATTTTTAACTTCATTTATATTTGTTTTTCATGTACAAGATCAAAGAAATAATTAAAAAAAAAAACCAACCAAACAGAATCAAACTCTGGATACAACAGTTTGATCTGATTGCTTTTGATACATACAATCTGTTGAAAGGTACTCAAAATTAAAAACAAATGCTCACACAATGTCATATGACAAAATGAAAAAAAAGTAAATAAAAAAGTTTAAGTACTAGCATGTACATAGATGTAGTATATTAGGAAACAAATTTATTTGAACACCCATATTTTTCTGTATTTAAAATAGACATTTTAATCCTTCCCCCAAACAGCATTTATTGTCAGAAAGTCAAACCCAATCCCTCCCCAAGTTACATTCTAACAGTATTACCAGAATACAAACTGTAAATAACAACACCCCATTACTTCTGTATCACCAAGACTTACGTGTGCCACCCTCAGTGATGGTCAACAGTAAAACTGTCTGCTGGCACATTTATTGTATTTCTACAAGTAGACAGTGTACATTTAGTAAAGTAAATGTTCAAAACTTGAAATAGTACAGTGAAATATTGTCAGCAATAAATTTAGTGTCATAAGAATTACATATGCTTTGAATACTTAGAAGTTCTGCCATAAGCCTGTTTAAAGCCAGAAATTTTTAAAAAAAGATAACTTTAAAAAAGAGATTTTGTTGCTGCTGCATTTTGTCTGATACATCCTCCTCTCCATCACAAAAATGAAAAGGAAAAGCTTACAGCGTAAAGAATCACTCTTAACTTAACCATGATTTGGTTCATCACTGAGTAAAGATCTGACCTAAGATTCTGGCAGTTGTTTTACAATGGAAGTTTCGTTTCACATTGCACCCTCCTGTTCCAAATCTGCTGCTGGTTTATTATGGAAATAATATGGAAACATAGTTTCTGGGTTTTTTACCTCTTTAAAGTTTTTGAACCAAGACACTTAACTACCTAAAACATCAATGAAAGAGGAATCAAGTTTGTAGCTTCCCAATTCCAATAAACATCTCACGTGGCTTTACTGGAAAGCTGCACCGGTGTCCCCTGTGAGAAGTGTGGCCTTCAGCGGGCGAAATCGGGGCAGCCTCACACCGGCTGAGGACTCGCTCGGCTTGGAAGATCTTTTGGTATGACAAAGCTTAAATCTGCAATAGTACAGACTTACTAGCAGATGAACAGACTGAATTTTCTAAAGAGAATCTACTGATGAGCTGTATTGACTGAATCCTGACAGAGCTCAGACCTGCAGCTGCTGGGGATGTTCTAGCACCAATGGCGTTCAGTTTGTCAGGCCCCTTACGCAGTGCTGACGCGTTGGCATCACTACTAGATGCCAAAAAAATCTCCAATTCTTTCACCAAAGTCAGTCATGTCACTAAAGAACAAAGTCTTAGGACCACCTGTTTTTCATTTAGGCTGCCAACCTGAAGAAATCCTTAAAAGAGAGAGATTCATCATAATTACAGTAATATTGGTCAGCCCTGCCAGGTCCTCTCTTAGTTGAAAAGAAATTTCTGATATCTCAACAGTTAGCACTAGCAAAAATAATAAAAAAAACCCAACAAATAACCCCTCCAAAAGAATAAAAGAAACACAATGCCCATTCAGTAATTAAATTCTGTGCAGACACAATTCTGCTGTCACATCTCGTTTTCTATTTTAAAAAAACCCAAAACATAAAAAGAGCTACTTTTCCCTGTGTAATAAAACTTCATAGACTGTAGGTCTTTGCCTTTCACCTCTTTTTTCAAAATTTCAGTGTGTGTGCTTTTCATTTTCCATCTTCTGATACCACGTACAACCCAGCAGTTCCTCACTGATAAGGTAGTTAATTGTATCATGTTCTCCCATTACGTTTTTTACTGAACACTGGTGATTCGTTTCTGTGCATTCCTATCTGCAGCCACCCTTCCTGACAAGGTCTAAATTTGTTACATCATCGTTTGCCTTCCAAACCTACTTCATATTCCCATCACTTCATCTCTGACCTTTTCACCTACCTTCACTCCACCAGATGGAAAAAAGTCTTTAGAGATCAATAATCTGGTGCATCAGTAAGATTTTGTTAAGTGTTACTAGACCTGGCAAACACACATTTACACAGTGCTACATCTCTTCCTCTCTCTACATAGCCTGGATTAAGCTTAGAGAAAAGTTTTAATGCCTTTCATAAAAAGACATATTTTTCAATATAAAAAGCTTAAATTCATAGATTATAAATAATATCATTTCAAAATATTTAAGAATTTTAGGACTTCATTTGCATTTCAGGGGAACCGCAAGCTTAATGTCCTTGATGCCTTCTCAGTCCCAAACCTCTGCTAAGGAAGTGTTTGTAGGATCTACTACAGGGAGACACCCACAGAACACGCCTCGTGTCCTGCACACCCCCTGCTACAAGTGAAAGACTTAAGAGCTAAGCAGCTTTACCAGACAAGTTACAGCACTGCCTGATAAAAGCCACCACCTTTTTCCATGTATACAACTACATGTATTTTGACACTGTCAGTTAAAAACATTACTGAAAACAGTATGAGCAAGTTTTTTTCCACTACATATGACATTAACAAGTTGTGCCTCGTTTTTCAGACCTGATTTTAAAAGCATGTTCTTGCATTTATTCCCACAAATTTTATATATATAAAAAATTGTTTGTTCATGTGTTAAGTTACAAAACTGTAGTGCTTAATATAATAAACATCAAAATCTAAGATCTTTTAAAAAAATGCTTGTTTATAATACATTGCTTTGTTTTTAAAAGGCAGCAGTCAGTACCAGTTTGGTTTATTTTGCAACAATACTGTAGTGTAAAAATGTTGCTAAACAATTCTGGTACTTTCAGATTGGAAGTATTTATTTTCCAAAACCTATACAGTAATATACTGAAAAAAGAAACTGCAATAGTACTGTTTGTGCCTTCACAAATATATAGTGAGAATTATTATGGCTGATATGGATCAGATTAGATCTGTATTCCATATAGCACAGTTAGTTACTAAGAATGAAAAAAAGATTTTTAAAGCTTAAGTAAGTTGATAAAAAAAGCTTCTGATACTATTGCCATAAACATAGTAATAAAACCGCTCTCGTGTCCTGATGCTGTGCACATTTTTTGAACGAAGTGACCTCGTAGTTAGCTTTTGTGATTCCTGAAGGGTTTGTGATGTTAATCAATACCTAGGAGATCAGTCAGGGACATGCACAAACACCACCCACTTTCTGTCAAAGTGAAATATTTCTGCCTGGTCTGAAAAGGTAAAGAAGTATAACAGATATTTTAAGTAGTGTGTTTTTTAAAGAGGAAGAAATACATATGCATATATGTGTGTGTGTGTGTGTATATATATATATATATATATATATATATGTATTTTATATTTTAATTAGTGTCAATCAAATCCAGGCAGAGATTAAACTGACCATAAAGAAGATGTAACAAAAGTCATTAAGGCAGTAAGGTGTATCTCTTGAGGATTTTCAGATATTCTACCTCTATCTCAAGAGGAAAAAGAAATGTTGAATTGCATCGTAGGCCCAACCAGCACTGAATGATTACAGCCAGGTAAGGAAGGGCTCATTTTTGTTGAGTACTGACTCTACATCGTTGAGGATGGGGATCAAGTCTTCTGACTCTAGAGTCCCAAGGTCAACGTTTGTTCCTGGAAGACAGTCGAGGAAATCAGGGAAACGTGTCTGTTGTGGATTTATGTTCATTGTTGTCTGTGCTATAGTTTCTCCTAGGAAAAGTAAAGAAGAACTTCTGAAATACCAAACTCTTCTTGTAGGCAATTTAAAACAACAATTGATATAAAAATTAGACTCCCCCTTTCCCATACATGTTTGTGAGCATTCCTGTCCTCTACAAACACTATCTCAAAACCAAATCTGCTTGCAGAATGCATATTCTTCTAAGAGTTAATTTCTTATCCTTGCTTTGCTCTCAAAAGTACAAAAGGCCCTTTCCAGCAGTGTTGGAAGTAATCGACCTCTGACCTTCCACTCGGGAAGTACAACTGTTCAGAGTTCACTGGTCTGCACAGGGAGCCATGCCACCCATGCTTAGGTAAACCCTCTCACCTGCTCTCGGCACAAGGGCCAGTGCTGTCTATGGGGAGTAACTGAAAAAAGTGATTTTCTGCAGTATTATATTACTTTCTTCATAAATTAATAATAACAAGCATGGAAAACTTTAATAGAGAAACCTTTCACTCTTTGCGTCATCTAGAACTTCTGATGACTTCCAAAGGACATTTAGGTGAGGAAGTGCTGAGAATTTCCCTGTCTGGAAAAAAAGTTGGTTTCCTAGTAATTTATTTGAGTATTTTAAACACCAGGAGGATGCGGATATAAAAATAAATACAGACCAATACCTAAACTAGCTAAATACATGCTGTTTGAAGGCAAAACCAAGTTTGCCACTGTAAGAGACTTATTAATGTGACTGATTTCCCAGAGTTATAAAACGCAGTGATTTGTACCAAGAATGTAGCCTAAGACCAGGTTTTTACTACTCCTACCTACAAATTAAGGCTCACATTTTCCAACTTAATTTGTTTAATATCAGTCTAATGTAAAAGGGTAGAATCTGGATCTAAGTTAAAGCTGAGAATCTTCTAGGCACCAAGTACCTTTCAGGCATTTTTCCCCACAGTCTCAAGCCTGTTTTCTTGCACAGAAAAGCGAGAGATGACCATTCAGTTATGCAATTATAAAATATTACTGGTTATATCACAAAGTTATTCATATCATATACTTTAAGCTAAATCAGAATATTCTACCTGTATCCATCTCATCTACATTGCTGAGGAAATCTTCAGGTGTCGTTGGTATACTGTAGCATCCCAATCCCAAGCCACTGTCTGTACTCTGTTCCCTGGAATGGTACGGCCCGCTGGAAATTGAAACATGAAAAAGCCTCAGTAATGACGTTCTGGCAGACAGAGTCCTTGATCATGGTCCTTGAAAAACGACAGCACAGCCAGTTAGATATTAAATACTGAGTCGTTAAGCCTCATTGTCAACTGTTGGCCACTAATGTGGTCATGCTCTATCAGTCCAAATATAGAGCAACTGAAGTGGGATCACTCTTAAATTCTGAAATACACCTGTATATGTAACTCTCTGGGCAAAACCAGTTCTGATAGCCTTAAAACCCTGAGTTTCTTTATACTTAGGTAATGCACCTATTCTACCTGCAGTTTCTACATACACCTACAGTACAATTAAAACCACCTGTTACCATTTTCTTGGTTTCTCTAAGCTTCCTTCTTGAAGTATAAACCGAAAGATTTCAGGTCAGCCACCCAGCCGTACTCTGTTCACAGTGAGCACAAAAGAAGATGATACAGGAAACTACTTTAGAAAGACAGCTTTACAGGTGTAGAGAAGGCAACAGATCCAATTGCCTAATGAACTTGCCTGTTCAAGAAAGGGTCAGATCCATTATTTGTAATAGGCCTCATGTCTTGTGCCATGGCAGGTGAACTCACAGCTGTCTGAACTGGGACCATGTTCTCTGGGTCCATGGGAAGTTGTCTGCATAGAGCAGCTTCCTGGAAAGGCAAAAAAATACAAGGGAAGGGTTATTCCAACAGATCAGAAGCCCTGCAGTCTTGTAACAAGCAAACATGTAATATGTACACACCATCTTATTTAGGGCAGTAATTCTAAGCAGCGTAACTGAAGCCTGTTTGTTCACGCTGGTGTGAAGAAGCCATGATGTGGACAGGCAGCATCTGTCCTGCCCACCCGCGCTGGGCTGGCTTACAGCACTGCAGAGCCACCAGAGCCACTGCAAGCCAGCCCCACCGTCCGGCCAGCGGGCAGATGTGCTTGTGCACCTTCTGATCAGCTCCACACCAACCCAGAGACCCTGTCTGCCTGTTCATATGAGCCTCCCTCTTTTTGCATGATGCCGATCACAAAATGCTCACATCAGTGGCTCTGGGGGCAGAGCTGTCACAGTGGCAGCTCCAGTCAGGAGCAGAGGCAGGCAGGCAGCAGAAAGTCCAACCTCCAACAGGCACAGCTATTGGCAGAACCACTGCACCTCTACGGCCCTCACAACCCTTACAAAATCAAATTACCTCCGTTATAACTTCAGACACCTCGTGTGTCACCTCAGCATCAAACACCAATGGGCCTGCACGCCACGAGCGACCACTGACAGCCGCCCTGCTGAGGGCCCTCACCTGCACACTAGGGCTCTGTAACACTCAAACCACCATTTCAGTTTACTGTTGAGTGATGGAGTAGCAATAATAAAGCAGTTTAAAACCTTCAAACTCATACCCTCCCATGTATGTGTCTAACAGCTTTCCTTAAGTAAAATTCTTCTCAGTTCAAACTGGTGTGAGAGCAAAATAGGGCACTGAACTCATGTGCATTGCTACTCGATTACATCATTTGCTATATACTAAAGCAGAATATCACTTGCAAACATGAAGTACTTAACATGTTAGAAGAAAAACACTGGAACTAAGACTTTGACCTAATAATCTTTAGAATAAGCCCTTTGCCTAACAATAAGCATCTGCCTAATGACCTGTCCTCATGTACACTGTCTTCAGGATGACAAATGAGCAATTAGAGCCAAAGGAAACTTGTTTCAGAACTCTTCCTGAAAGATGAATTCTTGCAGCGCTACCTGTGAAACAACCATGACATCTAGTGGTACAGAGGCCTATGCAAAGGGTGTTCAGCTCCAGGAGATCTTCCAAATATCCTAAAACCTTAAAATAATAAAGCTGTGTCTGTTTTCTACCCTTTTTTTTTTTTTTTTTTTTTTAAATGAAATAAGCTAACACCTCTCCTCCCTTAAGTCCCTTATTCTTCTGGTACCTTTCCAAAACAGCAAAACACAAAGCACTAGTAGAGATTTCTGAACCTCCAACTGCTAAAAAAATGCAGTTGTGCATAAAATTGAAGTTCATTGCAAAAAATACAGTGTTATTGACCAAGGGAGTTTCATATCTTTAACGTTCCATGAAATAAATTTTCTTCCTCCCTCATTGAACTGCAGAGAAATAGGCAAGAACTTCCTCACAGCTTTTTATTTCTCTTACAGACTGACTCAAAAAATGCCCAGCCAAATAAACAACACTGCAAAGAGCAGATAATTTCTTCCATCTACTGCTGCTGGCTTGTTCCATCTGGCAAAAACAACCAACCAAAACTGCACCTGTATTGACTAAATTTAGGTTAATACCAGTACACAGGCTGCGTTTTAAGGACGTTCCTCCACAACAGCTGAAGTTCCAAGATGAGGTTTATCTAACATGGAGAAAGGCACTCAACTGCCAAGGTCAGTGTGTTTTTCTGAGCCCTGGGCACAGTGTGCAAACTCTTTACTGCCAATACAGTGGAGATGCTCGAGCACGGCCAGCAGGTTCAGCTCTAACTGCTAGCTGTTACATGTGACACTCCAAGAGGACCCTTCTGATAATGCAGCGCCTGTGCCACTTCAGTAAACAGCTATGACTGTACTTGGGACAACTAACTGTAGCTAAAGGGAGTGAGGTGACAACAGAACAGCTTTTACTGTGGTCTAGACGCCCAAGTGCATACCACGGGCATGCTGAAACCTGTGCCATCTCTGTGCCACTGTCAGTGGCCCTCTGAGCTCAGATTAGCCTGCACCTGCCGCCACCAAACCTTTTCTCTGCAGAACAGACACAGGCATCGCCTTCCTCAGGAAAGACACAAAGATTTTTCTGTATCATACTGTAAGAGGGAAAAACCTAAAACACTGTTAACTTCTATAACTTATCCCCATTTCCCCAGTGATTTAATTTCCAGAAGTAGATCAGAATAGACTAGTAACAAAGTAAGAACAAGGGCTCAGAGACTACATCACTGCTGCACACCAGGCTGCTTATCCTATGGCCAGTAAAATGAACAGTCCGCCATTTGAGAAGGATTTTTGTTAAAGGTTTTTCCCTGAACTGCCTTCCACAAATAGGAAAGCATTGCAAAATGTCCATTCTTTCCAGGGCACTGGACTTACTGCTCCCGCACAAAGTGCTGTGAATCTCACATGTATCTGCAGACCTTAATGCTGGCTGGCTGTCCTCCATGCTGCAGCTCACCTGCGCAGTCTGGGAATTCAGACAGTGATCTCTGGAAAACATGGTGCCAACTACTGCTTGATCCAACAAGGAGAGATTAATACCCAGGTTTATTAATCACATCCCTAGATACAGTAACTGGCCCTCCCAACCGCTAAATGCAGCAGGGCCAACATCCCATCCCAGGAATGTTTAGTCTATTACATGGTTTAGACAGGCTTTGCAAAGCAAGGCAATTCGTGAGCTGAAAAGCCTCTGGCATCCTGAAGACTCACACTGGCATTTGCAAAATCTAAGTTCCTGCCTCTTCTTTTCAAGAAAAACCACATTTATTATGAAGCTACTTGGGTAACAGCATAGCACCTCCCATGTCTTTATTTCAACGTATTGCATGTTGCTTGTAATATGAACTCAGTGTGCACTTTTATGATACGGAACAACAGACTCCTGCTTGCTGCAGTCAGAGTTAGGCTGGGGAACCTGAGCACTGGCTCTGCCACACGTTGAAGTACACTCCTGCTCTGCTGCTGCCTGACGCAGGTGGTTTGTTCAGAAGTCACGTTACAATTTTACTACCACTATGGATGTCAGACTTCTTTGCTTCCTTGATAGTATTACAGCAATAGTCAATAGTAATGGATCAATTACCCCATCAAAAAATCTGTGTGATAGCCTGCTATGTCCTGCTCTCTATCCTAAGCATGGCTACAAGGTTCTTAAGAATAATATTTAAGAATCTCCTACCCTAGGTTAAAAAGTCTGGCAAAAAATACCAGAGGCCTCTCGCAGCCCTGTGAATGGCAATATTACAGTTGCAAGCTATGAGAATAGCCTTGGCTACTCTAATTATCTCCCAAAGGCAGGAGTGCCTGCCGTTGGCCAGCAGACAGTCCTCAGCATTTAGTTCACAGAGGACCAAATGCCCGTCATGATCTGCTTGGCACTACAGCAGACGTTATTTCAAAGACCCAGAGGGGATTTAAAAACTAAATAACCAAACAAAGTAAGTTTAAAAAGCCCACGGTACTCTGACATCACAAAGGCATGTCAAAAAGCTTGGTCAGTGGTTATCTGTGAAAATCTTTAAAAGCTTCAAAGCACTGCAGTGAGTTGGAACTATTCACTGCCTCTGAACACAACCCTGATGTAAACGCCTTTTTAGCCGTATGCCGGACAAATCTAGAAATTCACTGTCACACTTGCTGGAACCCTCCTTGGCAGAACTGAATGGAGCTCCATGCTTAGCTGCCAAACAGTCCCTTCCAGCTGGGGGAGGCATTTTTATACTGAGTTTACATTGCTAGTCACTCCAATTCCTTTTCTTCCTCATGGGAAGTGGGAAGTGAGACGTGTAGGTATCGCCTGTGCCGCGGGTAAATCAGAACGTGGGCCAGGCTGTGTGGCACGCAGAGCACAGCAGGGCACTCCTCTGTCCAGGCCGTAGCAGGCCAGAAAGGACAAAAGAGTGATAAATCTTCCTCTGCACCCCCATACACCAGTCCTACAGCCTCTTTTGAGATTCTGTATCTTTCCATGCACAAACTTATGGAATAGGATCGGGAGATCAGAAAGGAACCTCTGTGAAGTGTTGCCTTTCTGGGACTGTCTGCATCCCTCCAAACAAGGTGCAAGATGGCACCTGTGCACACAGAGAAATGCTGGGACATCTTCCCTCCAGGACCCTGTCACAGGTTTCTTACTGACATCACCTCTAACTACTTCCACTTCCAAGAAGCTTTTGAGCAGCAAGCAGATTCTCCCCTTCCCTTTGGAAAGATGACACAAGCAAATCAGTAAGAAAGAAAATGATCTCTTTCCTGAATGACAAAACTGAATAAGGGAACATTTAAATGGAAGCCATTATACTGGCTTTCTGAAACGCTGCCCTCCTTGCCTGGACTCGCTCTGCAGTTCTAGAGGCTTTACCAACTAAATGAAGAGGAGGACAAAGAAGGAAACGAACTCCCCAAGAAGAGAGGATCCAAACTGCATTCTCCTCCCAGCTGGGAGTGCCGCTCCACCCCAGCAGCTGCGGCCAGGAATGGCTGCGGGGTGTCTGCAGCTGCTGCCAGGCTGAAAGGAGGTTTGTGACCCCCCGAAAGAATTCCTCCCCTCTCGCTCGAGCTCTCCGTGCTTCCTCGCAGTTGCCAGCAGCAGCAGGCACACTTACTCAGCGTTTTTCGCTTAGATGGGTTACACTACAAAAGCAAAAGCAGCAGTGAAGGGCCAGGGCAGGAGTAACTGTACTCGAACATCAATGACTCCAGAGGGATTTGTCACATTTTTCCCAGCTGCCAGGGTCAGGAGTGCTCAGGTTACTGGCGGCACATTCACAAAGTTCTGTTAGGAAGGATGGATTTTGCATCTTGCTTTCCTTGGGTGAGAAATATGTTGTTCCCTAAGAGATACAACAAGTTCTGGAAGCTTTAGTAATACAAAGTGATATTGTCCTGCTTTGTATAATGCGGAGCTCGACCAAACAGCATTGGTGTGGGGTGGTGCTGGGCAGAGTATGCTGGAGGCTTAAGTAAGTAGAGCACAGCTGCAGAGTGCTGGGCGTCTGCTAGTTTCACAGTAAACCAGTCAGCAGAGCAGGGAAACCAGCCCTGGTGTTAATGGCACAACTGTTCTGAAGCTTAATTTGCTCCTGTCCTGAAGCAAGAACAGAGTCAAAGAGAGTAAAGATAGCTAAACACATTATTAACAGCCTGACAATTATGACTATGCTCATAGCAGACATACCCCCTCTCTCCCTACACCCATCTCTATCACATTCTAAGCTCCTGATAGTAAAGGAAAAGGTCTGCAAGAGACTTGAGATCACTGCTCGGGTCAGAGAGCACCACTGTGAACATGGTTCTGCACGCACAGGTCACGTACCATCATGGAACGCCCCAAAATTAAGGAAATTAAACATGGGCACAAGACGCTGGTGCCTGTACTGATTCCAGACTCAGGTCTGAACCATGAAAGTCAAATTCAGCCGCGACATGAGGAGGTAAAAAAATTCAGACACTTTAGTGGAATCCTGTCTGCAGTCCCTCCACTCAGCCAGAGCCCCGAGATCTGACGTTCACCAGCCCACAGGAATCATCGCACACACACAGCCAAGTGTTGCTGCAGGAACTGTATAAAACCACATCACTTTAAAGCTTTTTTCTTTTTTTTTTTTTTCAAATGCAGCTAGATGGTGCTGTACAGTTTCAAAATGTATTAATTTTTGTTAATTACTTCTGTTAAGCATTTTTTTAAAGTTCTTACACATATTTTGAGGAAGGAGATAAAAGAGTAAAAAAAAGAAAATGAAGCAAATACACTGTTGTTAAGTGGTTTTACAAATATTCTCACTAACATTTTTGTGATCCTAACTGTCAGACCCCTCTTCATTTTGTTATCAATCTCTCTTTTACAAAAGCCTGCTACGTGAGAGTATGTATTCATCCTACATTTGGTCTTTCTGCCTGAACAAGATGAAGTTACGAAGGTTCCAGTGGTGTAGCTGGCGAGAAGTATGACTCACATATAGTTTGTACATGGGAAGAAAAGTACAACCATATTCCTGTTTTTAGAAGTCTGTATTAAGGCTCACATCAAACTGCATTTTCTGTATATTAAGAAAAAAAATTACTTTCAATACAATTCTAATAACCTTTAATTTGGTGAGTGATTGTAATAATGTCTATTATTACTTTTTGAAAAGTGATATTTTGGTAAATTTGGCAATTATTTTTTTTTTCTGAAATAAAAGCATGGAAAAAGAGCATCTCAAATTCTTAATTGTTACAAACATTAAATACCTTTTCCTGCATTAGTAATACTGAGATACCATGTTTAAAAAACCTCAAAACCCAACACATTTAGTAAAACCAGGATTCAAAGGCTGTAGAGAGAAAACCAAAAAGCTGGTCATTAATTTGAGGTTTTCATGACTGCTACCTCTGAAAGATGACAAACCCTTTGTGAGCACATCTCCTTTCTGGTAGATGGGCTCTGATCATCCAGGCTATGTCAGACCTGAAGTTTTTAGATATTTATGTGTCCCTTTCTTTGTTACCCACAAACCCTCCAGAGGTCACCGAGATGCTCCAGTCTGTTTTCATCACGGATGTGTTTTCTCTCACTCATTCTCCTCCAGACTTTGAAGAAAAAGCGCATCACTCCTCACTTACTTGTGGCTAGTGAACCTATGACATACTCCCTGCTGCTCCTCCTCAGAGCGCACCTAAGCATGAGGATTTTTCTCAGGCTTCTTTTTGCATTTTACATGAGTCACTAACATTTCAAAACATTATGGAAACTTATGGTTCTCTAAAAATCATCAGAAAAGTTCAGCTAATTGGTGTTATTAGCCCAGTCATAAACATGCTTCACCCGGTGCAAAGAAATGTCATACTGCATTTCTAAATACCGTATAAACAAATATTACCCTAAACTAAACACAAACTATGGTACAATCCCAAAGGCAAAAGGACTGAAGGTATGAAATAATAATTCCACAAAATCATAATTTCCACGGAAGATGGAAGTGAGGATGGTTAACCTGGCAGGAATAGGGACATTGTCCAAGCACACAGGGATGAGGTTAGGAATGCTAAAACCCAGCTGGAATTGAACCCGGCCAGGGGAGTAAAAGACAACAAGAAGGGCTTCTGTCAGCACCGGTGGCAACAGAAAGGGTAGGAGAGTGTGGGCCCACTGCTTCTGCTGCGGGGAACAGCCGAGAGGGCTGGGGCTGTTTCAGGCTGCAGAGGAGAAGGCTCAGGGGATCTCACCAACGATACAGACCCCGGCAGGGAGGGTGCATCGGGGACGCAGCCAGGCTCTTCCCAGGGGTGCCCAGGGACGGGACCGGCGGCCATGGGCACACACCAACACACAGGAGGGTCCCTCGGAGCACCAGGAAGCACTTTGTCACCGTGCACAGGCTGCCCAGGGAGGTGGCGGAGTCTCCAGCCCTGGAGGTGTTCAGAAGCCGTCTGGACATGGTCCTGGGCACCGGGCTCTGGGTGGCCCTGCCTGAGCAGGGGGTCAGGCCAGAGGACATACAGAGCTCCCTGACAGCCTCAGACAGTCTGTCTGATTTTGTGGAAGTTACTATTTTTAAACGTACTTAGAACTGTAACTGCAGCATTTACAAGGCCACAAATAATGGTGTTAATTCTTGACAGCATATACTTCATTCACGCTGTTCCTGAGAGAAACAGGTTATTTATTTTCTCTAAGGTAGCTGATTAATATGTCATGCAAAATATAACATCACCAGTGGAGTTGCCCATAACAGAAGAAACCCAATTGTTAAAACTTGTTTTTTCCTTAACTCAGTGTAAAGGAAGTTACATATCTATTTTGTACAATATGAGTTATTATATAGAGCTGAAATTAGGAAATAGAACATTAAACTAAATATCCACAAAGAACCACCTCTGGAAAGACTTCAGATCAGAGGTATTCATGGAAGATGTGAACGTGATTTTATTTATAATTCAAAGGCAAAGGGTGCATATAGAGTTGGGATCAGAGTCAAGAACAACTCTGTATGTTCTGCCTTTATCTTCAGTGAAGCATGAACTACTATGCAAACCAAGTTAGACTGAGAATTAATCAGTGATAGTTGCTCTAGATTTACAAACAGATGCAGAACAGAAATTGGTCCCTACAACACTATAATAGCTGGTAAGAAAGACACCAGGTCTGTAACTCCTGGAAGAAGGCCATTTTGTGTTCTGTTCAATGCTAGTTTAGAGAAAACCCGAAATGTTCTATTTGTATTAGCTTTTTGGTCACCCTTACCTAAACCAACGGTTATTCTTGACATGAAGTAATAGATCTACTAATTGTACCTGGAAAAAATGTGGCTGCATCGAATTAAATGCTCCCAAACAAAGTAAGAGCATCCCTGGCGTTACCTGTCGCAGTAACTCCTCCTGACGCATCCTGATCCGCTCCCTCTCCATCTGGATCCTCTGGAGCCTCAGCTTCTGCTGCTGGTGCTGCTGCGGGGTCAGAGCGCCGGGCAGGTTCAGCAGCCCCGGCTGCGGAGCCTGGGCAGGGCGGCTCTGCTGCGACAGTGCTGTGCTGCCTGCTAGCTGGTGCTGGTGATTCATGACTGTGGGAAGGAAAATAAATCATGGCTGGTGAATGAGAATTGTACTTTAAGATGACAGAGGGCCTAGGACACATGTTGCTCATTTATGGAAGAGTTATTAGAATGACCGTGTTTCAAATGACTGAGATAACCCTCAATCTGGCAAGATCTGGTACTAGCAACTGCTTAATAAATTATTTTTAATATTTCATGTGTGTATAAAACATGAACACTTATATTACAGCAAGTATTTGTATTCATCCTGGTATGTTCAAATATTTACCTAATGGTATGTAGTAAATGACATGCACGTTTCTTTAACAGAAAATTTCTCTACAAGCATGTGCCTAGAATATGCAATAAACTAGTAAAAATGTTTTCAATCTTAACATTTTCTTTATTGACAGATCTAAATCGATTACTATAAGAATAACTACCAGCATAAATAAGGAGCACTCTGTGTGTTTCTCACCACTGTGAAGGAGATACACACTTTTTTCAGTGACTCACTGATGTTCCAGTTCCAGTTAAGAAGCAAACCCCGTGGGAGGACCCTGCTGGATTATCACGGGCCAGAGTCACAATCTCTGTGTGCTCAGCTATAAATGAGGGTTAATAGTATCCTCGTCTCTTGCAGAAGTTTTTTAAGCACTCCTTACCTCACAGGCACTCACACATTACAGTAATGAAAAACAGCTTGAGAACTGTAACGGAAGAAAAAAAGTGCATCTAATGAGATCCAGCAACAAGCCCGACTGCCAGAAGTTACAGCAGCGGTGCAATAAAAAGACACCAGAAACTATGAGAAGCTACATCCTTCCCTAATATCCTTAACGTACTTTCACTTACTTTTTCAAAGCAGGTGAAATGCAAGGAAAAGATAATTAAATTGAATCTGTACCACATTCATAAACAAAAAGGCAAAGTAGTGAGAATCACTGCTAACTGTTCTTGAAGGATTTCTGTCTCCTTTGAACAAGCATGGCCCTTTCTTCCCAGTGGCCCCAGCATTCCCAGTTTCAGGAGGCCGTCAGTGTGAAGTTTGCTATCTGAGCTCGCAGCATGGGAATGACTATCAATAACAAAACAGTGTGATTGCAAGTTACTAATACATCATACCACTTTCAATATCAAACTCAGCAAAAATCTTTATCAATCTTGTACTGAAAGAACTGCCCAAATCCACTGCTGCTTCTACAGTTACATCAGGCAAGAACAGAGTTTAGTGAGTTCTTAAGAAGCCTGTATAAAATTAATCCAAAAAAAGACACCAAATTCAGGCCTGGCATTAAGTTACAGAAATCAGCTAAGGTTAAATTTACAATTCATGGTTCCTTCTGCAAATGAAAAAGGTCTAATAAACTACAGATTAAGGAGTCTGATTTTAGACTGGATTTAACAGAATAGAGCGATTTGTAACTCTTGCTGAGCTCTGGATAGGCAAGCACCAAATTGTATAGTTGATGTCATATGAAGAAAACCATTACAGTTTTTCAAACATTTGATTAACAACTGAACCCTTATCCACTAAGGTGTTCAGATCTGGAAATGGCCCATTAATTTTCCACCTTTGGTAGGAGATTCAAAAGGTTCCTCTGGGCAGCAACCCCGTAACTGGCAGGTGAGAAACGGGACCCTTTGTGAGCAAACCTGAGCTATACCCATGCCACCCAGCTAAACCCTTTCGCTTGCCGACAGAAGGCTGCTGCTCAGGCAGTTCATGACTGTTAATGTTACTTAACATAATCTTTTCTGGTCAATTCAGAAACTGTAAGTCAGAGCAGAACTCTGTTGGATGGGCATTTTCATTCAAAGAACTGTTACAAAAGAAATTGCAAGTTTTTGTGTAGCTCCACGGTCACTCTGGTAGTCATGCCACAAAACTAAAATAATCATTTGACACCTCTGACAGCAGGTATCACTTGGCCATGGCAACAGAAACACCCCTGCTCTCTAGAAATGTTTCCCTCTTAGCAATAGGCTTGGAAAAAACAGGAGGAAAATAAGACAGAGAGGGGAAACTGCATAGCCTCCACCTGTACCTCCTTTTTATTTTTGAGTAAAATGTGTCAGTTCCCAGCAATGCCACCTAATACCTTTTGTGAGCCACGGCATGAACAGTTCCTTCTCTTCCCTCCCCACCTTCACCTTTCCAGTAAAACACACGTATGGTACCTAAAGCCAGTCTGGATTACAAGTGGTAGCCATATACTGCTTTAAAAATTGACATTTTTTGCAAGGATTCTTTCAATAATAGGGCAATGGATAATTCACAAAGCTCTTACCTTTTAACAAGAACACCCCAGATACTAAAATACTCTCTAGAAGAGATATTTTTCTGTCCAAAGGACAAAGATTTGTGTCATCCTTTTTATCTTTCACTCATTGTTCTTACTGTATGAGAACTGAAATCTTAACTCAGTTCTGTGCTTCTCAGACCTGAGCGTGTTCGTGCTCTGTACACGTCTGACCTGGCAGGACACAGCACAGCAAGCGCTGCTAGAAGCATGCATGGAAAGAAATGGGTTTGTACAGTCGGGATCAAGCACATGACACCTGCACAATGCAGAACGCTGAACTTATCTCACTCTGCCAGTTCCAAGCTAAAAATTTTTTTGAAAGGTTGACTTTATGCTAGCCAGCTTTCTGCCAGATCAGGTACTGTCTTGTCCTTCTGCAACTGAAGTAACACAGGTACACAGGCATTAGGCAGTCTAAACTCTGCCCTGCTTCGCTTTGGCAGAAACGTTTACATGCACTCACATCAGATCTGAGTCGAATTTTTCCTTCTGGGTGATCACACAGGCCCAGCACAGAAAGACTACGGAACCATCTGAGAGTACAGCTGCATGGTATTTTAGCTTCAGTGACAAATTCAGCTCAAGAAATAATCCAAGTTAAAAGCAGCCCTGCAGTAATATAACCTTTTCACAAATTCAGTCAATGTGTGGTCCACAAACAGCTGTATCCACACAGATGACATCATGCTTCCACATGAAACCAGAGTGTTGCCATTTATCACCTCTTCCACACCCAGCTGCCTGTTCCTGCCCACATGCTACCCCTCTACTGAGCTGCCAAAGGCATTTTTGTGGCCACACAGCAAACTAAAAATTGCTTGGGGATAAAAAGGTATTTTCTGGCTAGGTCAGTTCCTAGCAAAAGTAACTGGGTAGCCATGAAACTGCTACATGGAACCAACCTAGCAGTCCAGGTGCGAAAAATAAACTGGTTTCAGGAAAGATGGACCAAAGCCCACACTGGTCAGTAACTTTTCAGTGGTGAAATCCCAGAAAGGTTAGCAAGCTGCAGTGCTGAGAGGGGAAAGGCAGGAATGAGAGCTGGGTGCAGAAATCAAAGCACTCCTGTGATGGGAAAACAATACATGGAACCGCATTTTGAAATGCAGTGAATCTAGTTTTATTCCCATTAAAATAAGTAAGAAATACTGTACATACCATTATACAAGTTGTATCGGTGCAAATCTGGTGTTAAATTGCCAGGACCATAAGCACTTAGGCAGGAATTTAACTCTTCCTGTACGCAGAAGCATGTGCTTAAATTTCTGACATGTCAATGGTTGAGTGAACAGAACAACCATGCTAAGAATCCAGGTGGGCTGAAGGATTATCACAACATAGCAAGTTCTCCGTAAGAAAAACTGCTTTCATCTAAGCAGCACATGCAAATGATAGAACCAGGTGAAGTTAAGTAAAGATTCCCAGCCTGTACAGCATGTCTGGGATACACTCTGTGCGAGGAGGGCCCGAGTGCAGTACGATTTGTCAAGGCTATTTGTTGCCTTTGCTGTATCAAATACTCCCTTCTCCTTCATCAGCTGAGCTGCCCCCATGTTGTATCACAGATGAAATTACACATACAAGAAGAACAAGGCAATATGAAAATGCTGAGGAATACTTCTCCCTGAGCTGTGGTCCCCAATAACCCTTCTCATCTCTTCTTGTGGGGACAGACAGAATATTTTAGTCCAATGAACTCCCTATCTTGGAATAAATTACTTTTCTTTGAAGCAATACTGTCTGTTCTTACATACCATCAAGGAACTACAGGAAGCTCAGTACAATGAGTAAAGCAAGCATGCCCACACCATACATCAGGAGTGTAGAAAATACATCACGCTGAATCTCCTACAAGTCAAGCGAGCCATAAGTATGTGATCATATTTCTAACAAAAATCCGTTCTACCTCAAAAAAAAAGTTGTTTATGTCATCTGGGTTTGATAAAGCCATAGCCACGGGCAAAGGAGCTGCACAGAAGACAAAGGAGTAGGGAGGAGCCATCCTCAGCCAGTTCCAGTGGGCTCTGCTCTTCGTTCCATCTGTGCCTTTCTCCTCAGAGGTCTGTAGGTCTGAATCTCTAGACACAGGTCCACAGAGAAACGTACCTGTTCAAAACTACCAGTCATGAGAATGGCTTTCAAAGAAACATTGATTTGGGCCACAGAGACAAACTTACTGAACGACATTTGAGCGCACTGACACCACACCTTTCTCCAGCACACACTGCTTCAAGAAGAAAAGGGATTCACATAACTCTCCACTCAGTTTGAACACCAGACACCTACTTCCACAGCAGCCCCTACCAGACAGACAGTCAGAGACCTGAGTGTAGAGGAGTCACGGAGCTGTGTTTTCAAACAAGTACAGACAATTTTGTCAGGGTATCTGGATAGAGTATGTCTGTAATGTCTAACTTAAAATGGAGCATTAACTTGATAGAGTAATAAACTTCTTTTCTTTACTATTATTCAAAACCAGTTTATAAATACACAGATGCTAAGACCTAGGTTTTCATTCCACTTGAATTATTCTTGAGTTCTATCACAATAATGTCCCATAAGCAAGTTTAGGACATATGTGGTCTACTTTTGTGAAGTCAAAACTAGTTTTTGGGTGTGTGCACACACACACATATAATGCATACTAAGTTAATCTAACCTAGCTCAAAACAAATATTAACTGGAAATAAAAATAGTAATAGTACAAAACACGAGACTGGT